ATTGTATGTAATAAATTGTTAAAAGCGTTTTAGCTAAACCACTTTATTGTATAAATAAATTTTTTTAAGTCATAATAAACTCATGAAATATTATGTTATAGACTTCGCTACGGATACTTAAAAAATTTTTTTTATGAAGTAATTTTTTGCTCAAAGTATAGTGTAATATTTGTAGTAAATTATATAGTAAAACTTTTTCCAGCAAAAAAATGCATTAAAAGTTAGGATGAAAAAATTTAGAATAAAAAGACTTGAAGTATTTCAAAAAGTATTTAAGTATAGGATTCAAACTTTTTTAAAATAGTGACGAATAAAAAATAATTTAAAGATAAGAATGTACTTGATTCAAGTAAAAATATCTTTGAAAGTGTTAAAAAATCTGTAAAATAATTACACCCAAGTTTATTTGGTACCAACTTTCTCTTTTTAAATTGAAAGTACATGTAAACCGACAATAATCAACAGCTGCATTTCAAACTGATTAAGAGAAGATCTGATCCAGCCTCGAAAGATAAAATCAATGTAGAAAGTCACCTGACAGCATGAAATGCAGTTAGAAAATTTCTATTCTTAAACAATTGTCGCAATTGAATGTATGAAGAGAAAAAAAAAAATTGCTCCCACCTCTTGCGCCTGCAGTTGGCCCTACGGTCCTCGTCTTCTTGGGTTTGGCCACCTCGGTGCCATTATCGTCAAAAAGCTCCTCTGTGACCCTAGGCGGGGTAATACCACTCAGACGATGGTGAATCTCCCCCAGAGGCGGTAATCTCTTATTCCACGCCGCGAACTCCGTGGTCCGCGCAGGTGGACTCAGCCTATCGTCAATGATCCTCCGAGCGATTTTCCAGCCCGGCTTCGCAACTTGTGCCGTCTCCTCCAAGCTCGAGTTCGTCGTCGTACTGCCCGTCGTCGTAGTCGAGGTTATCGTCGTCTCCTCCGTGACGCTGGTTCCTCTGCAGCTCGTCGCCAATACAACGAGCACCAGCAGCAATACCGATCGCGAAACTCGCGCACGCGACATCATGGTTTTGGAGCTCTCAGCGGGCTCTGTCCTGCGAGCGAGCCATCTGAGCCGATTGGACGATGGTCAGGCAGTGAATGTCGCGGCCGGGGCTAGCCTGGGCTTTTTATATTTTATTACACCCTGCGTGAGACGCGGGGACGATCCGTGGCTCGCTCATTAACGTGTCTACATGTATATACATGTGCACATGTAATGTGCAGATCGTCACGCCTCGTGTGCGTACGCTTTTTGTTATTTTCTGTAAATCGGCGCTCTATTAGTGGAGGTTTCGACATGCGCGCATTCGCTCTCTTGCGTTTTACGTCCCCCTAAGTCGCTAAGGTTGTCTCGGTTCGTTGTTTTGATTTACTTATTTTTTTAGAGTGCATTGCCAATTGCAGAATTGAGTACAATCGTTTTATACATTTTTAAACGTATGGAAATAACATTTTTTTCCAAAAATTTAATTTACCATCATTTAAAAAAAAAATTTGTTGTTTCTACTGTTAATAATTTAATATACTACAATACTCAACAAATATAAAAAAAAAAATAGAATCTAACCGAATATTAAAATTTTTTGAAAATATTTTGTTTATTTATTATTTTTAATTTTTTTGAAAGATATAACAACCTACATTTTTGTAAGAAAAAATTTAAGTTTAAAAAAATATCACAGATGATATCTACATTATGTTTTTAGAAAAAAATTGTATCGTTTCTCCAAAGAAAGAGAATCATTGATGCCTACAACTGTTGAGTAAGGGTGTAAGGAATCATGTTTACATAGTGTGTATGTATGCCACTTGTTGCACAAAGTGATTTAACGCGTCGTGGGTTTCGTTGATTTGTTCGAATGATCTGGGAAACGGAATAATACGTAAACAGAGTTTTACTTCCTGTTAATAAAACGAGTGTTACCACTACATGCGTATTATATTCTCTTGTTGTTATGCTTTCTGAGCAGATAATACGTGTATACACATATGTGTAAGCGTCTTGTTAGTGTTACCATAATAGCAAGATCAATAATTCGTTCTGCTGGTGAAGTAACAACCTTTTTTTTTACGAATAATTTTTTTTTTTGTTAAAAGTTTATTCGTTAAATAATTTTTTGTATTTATTTAGTAGTTTTATTTGTTAATGTTTTCTTGTTTCCAAAATTATTAAAGTCATTTCAAATTCTCGTTAAAGGGATGTAAAATTGGATTTCTTTAGGTACCAAAATTGTTGAAAAAAAATTGTTTAACTAATTAAAAAATTACATCGTCTTTTAATGAAATAGTGAAAAGCAGTCGCATTTATTTTTAATGGATACGGAAACTCTGTTTCCTGTATGATTCTTGCACATTTCACTTGACTTTCTCAAGCGCATGGTATTAAGAACATACCTCTACGAATGTTCTCGATTTCATTACGAGCTTATCATGTTTGTAAACATTTTAATTTGGTGATAAGTGAAACTCAAGACTCGTGATGATTTTATTCAAAATCTATTAATTTGTAAGTTTTTATTGTTCAGATAACCAAACAGTTAAAAAAAATTTTTTTTTGATAGATTCAATAAACACAAAGAGTATTAGAATTTTATATTTTAAATAAAAAAACATTGTGCTGTTTATTTACTACAAATGACATCTCCTACTGTAAATTTTCGCACCGTAAAAATAAAAAATATGCTTAAACAAGACAAGGAAAAGTTGAGCAATTATCCTTATCTCTATTCTATGTGGTAACTAATTTACTTGAGGGAAGTGAATTATTCCACATTAAAAAGTAAAAGTAGACCTCTTCTAGCGTTAAAACAGTCTTACATAATGAATTATCCCTTCAAGTAAACGTGATAGCACACACACAAAATTTATCACTCCAAACAAAAATCTCAAGTTTTAAACTATGAACACAATAACTCCTATTGCAACGAAAAGATGAGCAAGATCGTCAAAGTAAAAAAAGACCGCCCACGCATCCGATTTGCACAACAAAAAATAAATGTAAAAAAAAAGAGGACTTGCTCACGCAGCCGCTGATGAAGAGATAACGAATCCGCAGCCTACACCCATAGCCCCCATCGTCGCTGTGTTCATGACAACGGAACAAAAAAGAGTGGCTGGGACAATTTGTTCCGCACGGACTTTTAGCGCCTCTCTTGTGCAATTACTGTAATAACTCGACGACGCATGTGGCTTTTACTTTCGGTTTCATCAGCAGCTACCTATGCCAGAACGAAATTTAAGATCTTGATATAAATGCTAAACGAGAGAGAGAGAGAGAGAGAGGGAGAGAGACAATACTTATGCGTGCGTTGGAAGGGTTTTCAGGTACTCCCGAATTTGCTCTTAACGTCGAGAGAGGTCCTTCAAGGAGTTTTGGTTAACCACGATGTCTTGGAGGAGTTTTCGGAGACTCGAGACAAGCGCGGGGGGATTCACAAGTCTTCGCGAGATAGTTGTGTATACACATTAGATGGTACTGAAACATGTCTATAGTATTACGAGTATCTATGGGAAGTTTTTAACGACGGGCGAGAGTTTCTTCATGTACATAGTCCTTGTCGTCGTGTTTAATTGTCGGGACGGACTCTCTCACGGGAAGTTGTAAAACACACTTGAGGCAAATTTTCGTGATTGGATCTCGTTTTTGACTTTGAAAGGATATATTTACTCAAATCCCTTGCGTTACAATTATTTTGTCTAAAAACATGATGCATTACTATTTGTTCTGCAAATTATTTTTACAGTACATAGAACAATTTATTTCCACAACATAAAATACATCCGTATTTTGAGAGATAAATAAATTTTATTTCAGAAAAATAAATTCGTACACTTTTTGTTGGGAACTTTTTTTTATACTTAATATTATATTTAAAAAATTTTCCACAAGTAAATTGTAATTTAAAGTATTTGAGCATCTACAAAATAATGGTACCTAATACCTACTATGAGAACAACGAGCGGAGGAGGTATTTTATTGGGTGGGCGATGAAATGAGGAATTATGCTATTTCAGATAATGTGTCGAGTCTCGAGATTTGATGGGAATATTTAATTTCGTTCATGCCAGTCAATGGATCTCATTACTAGGGAGTCCAAGAGTCGGGAAAGTAATTTCGGTGGATCAAGTGTATTGGTCTCTGCCGAAGTAATGACTTGATGCTTCTCTTATCTCACAGACATACACAGAATTACATTTTAGCTTCAGATTTTTATATCGTCCGATACAAAATATTTGACAAAAATCGTAATTAACTTTTATTATTTTCTTATAAATTTTTTTTTTAATGAAAAATAAAGTTTGTTTTTTGAATGTAGTTCAAAAATTTTGTCAATAATCTTTAAAAACAAAGGCAAGCCATGCCCTGTATACACGTCATTCTGATCTATCTTGACATCGCAGAAGCACGTGTTGTCTGTCGCATCTCTAGTTACTCATACTCTCATTTATGAGCTCATTCGTCTTTGGCACATTGACCTTATCTTCTTGATTAACTTAGTTACGGCTTAAATCATCGTCAATCTATATCTTTCGGATACATATGGAAAGTCTCTTAGAATCAGTTGGCTCTACTCCTCGTTGGCTTCTGTTAGATATACGCTGTTTCTCAATATTAACTTCTAAGACGAGATTATTTATTATTTTGTTGGAACAATTTGCAAATTTATTCTTAAGTGTCAGACAATAATGGATTAGGTGTGTCAAATCTATATGGTGTGAATAACATAGATTTTTGGAAAACATTTCTTTAGTTTTTCAGTGCTTTTGTTGGATTTATAATTCTTTAATTTGAGGACGACAGCATGTAATGAGACATGTCATTGCGTTTTCATTCCCTTTCAACAAATTAATAAAATTACTGAACTATGTTCGCAATGGAAAAAGTGATAGAAAAAAGTAATTGAATATTGTGCTCGAGAACAATGCGAACTATCTGTGGTACAAGCCTCGATCTTTTCTGAAATCGGCACAGAGTGGAAACTAAGCTAAAGGGTTTTTGTGCTCACATACAATGATACAATTGAATGATAATTGGTCTAAGTTTCATTAGTTATAAAAATATTGGCTACAGGGGTGAAACAATTGTAGTTAATCAATTTATTGACATAATATATCACATAATTGCTTTGAAACTTCAACATTTCGAGTGATTTATTGTTTTTTTTTATTAGTTATACTTACAAAATGTGACCAGTCGTTATTAATACACAAGTTATGGATGATTACATATTGTTTTTTACTATCAGTTAAAAATACGGTGAATGTTGTGAAACTTTACAAAATGTTACATACAAAATCATATCGATTATTGGCAAACCCTTGAGTCCTCAAAATTTCTATTGTTTAATGTGACATGTACTTTTTTAAAAGTACATAATACACGAAAATATTGCACTTCTGAATCAGAAGAAAAAGTTTTTTGCTCCCCTTTATAAAAATATTCTGAAAATAGAAATGATAAGTTGGTGTATTTTTAAGCACAAATTGGAAAATACTTGAAACAAGCCTTGTTTTAAAATAAGATAGTGTAAAAATTGATCCTCCGAATACCCTTAAATGATGGTATATGTCGATCGTGATATACTTATTACCTTAAAGCATCGATTGTTTTCTGTTTCTTCTTGGCATTTGTTTGGTATAGAATATAGAAAAAATATTCTTTGGCTATTTTATTTTACTTAATTAGAATGAAACCTAACTACTAAAATATTTATCGTTGTTAATTATCAGTTACAGCAATAATTGACGTTTTATAACAAAGCATTAAATACCAAAATTGCAGAAATGAAAAAAATATTTTTTTTTCGTGAAGAGCTAGAATTTTTTAATTTTTCAATTGAAGTTGAATTTTTTCATAACTATAACATTTTTTTTTTATCAAAGACAGTAATATACGCTAAAAAACGATTAAATGGATATTTAAAAATAATTCTCAGTGTTATCCCGAGTCTGATTGATAGCACAAAGAAAATTTGTGTCTTAGAAAAGAAATTTTTTGTTCTACTTTGTTTTTCCATATTT